CTTCCACCCGAGGCATGCGCTGATGCTGGACGATGAAGGGTTGGAGGCGCTCAGTCTCGCATGGCAGTGGTCGGAGGCAAGGGGACTACTTCCTAAACAGTTGCGCTGGATTCAGATGCTGATGTTAGGCAAACCATCAGGTGGAAGCAGACTCATAATTCTATATGCTGGTCTTTATCGCATATGGCAAAGATACCGCCGATGGATGGTGTCAGGTCTCAGTCAGCAGCATTCGAGGAGATACTGGGGAGCGGCGAAAGGTCGCTCTGCCCTAGACTGCGCTTGGCTTCGAGCTGCTCGTGCTGAAAGCGATCGAGCACGGCAGCGACGCCATGTCATGTGGGCTATCGATAGGTCAACATACTATGAATCCATACCACCGGATACGTTCAGAGTGAAGTTTCTCAAGGTTGGAGTGCCTGTGCGCTGGCTCAAGTTAGTCCTCAACACTTGGCGAGCGCCACGCGTCATTAGATCGGGCAAGCATCACTCCACCCTGTCCCTGTTCGCAGTCTGCGGGCTGCCCGCTGGGGATGCCTACAACGATTCGGCCATCAAAGTTTAGGCATGCGTTGAGTTCGACGAGTACATATCAAGATGCCCAGCGGTTGATTTCCTCAGCTACATCGACGACACTGCGATACGTACTGGCTCGAAGGATGTGGAGATGGCGATCAAGGTTGCAGTCAATGCGATGGCGGAATTACAACGTACTTCCGAGAAGTTGTCAGCGGTGCTCAACTTCGAGAAGATTGGTCTGCTGGCGTCATCCAAGGAAATCGGCACTGCTGCGCTCGACATGCTAGGATGGCCGCACTCGGTCCTGAAGAACGGCGTCTCCTACCTCGGTGTCAACGAGGCAGCTGGAGCCAGGCGCAGTGCTGTAGGAGCCAGAGTGAAACAGGCCAGGCGTTTCACAAGAATGAAGATGATAATCCGCAAAGTCAAGTTTTATCGGAAACGGTGCAAGGGCAGGAAAGAAGCCCCCTTTTCCAGTATTTGCCGCGCTGGGGTTGCTCCTGCGAGCAGTTTCGGTACTGAAGTCCCAGGCCTGAGCCAGGCCGAGTGGGTTTCCCACCAGCGAAGGATTTGCGGCTCGGACGCCCCATACCATGGAGGTGTCTCTCTGACAGCTAAACTCGTTCTTCTCGGGGACAAGAGTTCTCGGCTGGCGGTTGCCCCTGTTATCCGCTGGTGTAGGATGCTTTTGGATGGCCTCCACACAGCCCGAGAGAGCACTAGTCAATAAGGTTGGGTTTCTTAGGCTCTGGGACTCGGCCCAGCCTCTGCCGGTTGGCCCGTGGAGCTCCTCTCGCGGCCCGATTCGTGAAGCGGTACTCGTGCTCCACAGGCTGGCTGGGAAGTGTTAGGCCCCGTTGAATGGAACGATCACAACGGTTGAACCGCGATGGTCGATCGGACTTCCCCGTCTCTGCTGGCTGACATGATTGATATCAGTATCCAACGCCAGCATGAGATGGTGTCGCGGCGAAGTTAGGCTACCCCCCTGGGCACAAGGCCACCTAGGATTTCGTGCGGGATCGGTTGGAGCCAAGAGCCAAAGGATCAGGTAGACACGCCAAGTTTTTAGTGAGATGCTGTGGGTGCAATGGAATGTGGACCAATGATCGGGGTCGTCGGTCGGGTTGCGCGACGGACGGTTTGTGCGAGTGTGGACAAGTCGACACACTCCACCACAAGCTTTACACATGCACACGCAGAGATGTCCAGATAGCTAGACATGAATCGGGTGCCACGCCGAGCATGTCCAGGCGGCGCTCGTATATCCGGACCTTGAGATTCTCACGCGTGGGATCTCTGTTTACCCTGATAGTGAGTTGCCCAAGCCAAGTACGTCGTCGGAGGCTGAGCTGCTTGATGTCTTGGGCAACCCACTAGACATGTGTCCTGAAGTCATGGCGAATATTTCCAGTGATCAGGTGCTCCGATTGGCATCCGACGGCTCCTGTTCCAAGCCTCCGCTCCGTCCACTACAGAGGGCGGCCTGGGCTATAGGTGTGCTGCCCGACAGGGGTGGTGCGCCAGAGCCCGTGGCTGTGATGCGTGGCGTAGTCCACGGCACTTTTCCTCAGACCCCCGCGATGTCTGAGCATGTGGCGATTGCTCTTTGCGGCCAGGTGGCAAACAGACCGTCGGTGCTTGGAGCAGATTGCATGGCAGCAATCAAAATCATGCAGCGCAGTGTCACTCAGCAGTTGGCAGCCTCGTCCAAATTTGCAGACATTCGTTTTTTTTGCGCAGAGCCTCGAAGGCACGGAATCGCTCCAGGAGGTCAGGCATGTGAATAACTTTGTCAAGATAGCCGCTGCTGTGCTGCTGCTGTATAAGACCTCTGGTGGCCCCGCCCTCCCTGCGCCCCGAGGCGCGGCACCTCCAGGCTCAGGACGGGGTGTCATTCGTCGATCGATGGGCCTGCGGGGTGGCATTGCACCAGCTGCTTATCCCTCGGTGGTAATTTGCGTTCTCAGCTTGATATGACAGGATGTGCTGGCGTGCCACCCCTCATAGGCAAGCTGCTCAAGGACCCTCAGGGGCACCTCATCGTCGCGGCTGGACTTGCTCGAACTCCTACCTCGGTCGACGTTGTGTGTGCGGTCCCTGAGAAGCAGACCTATGTTTGTTTGAAGTGTGGGGGGTGGTCCCAGATCCGTGCTTTAAAGTTGGCTGGTCCCTGCATGCGTCCCACCAAAAACGGTCAGGAGGTGATCCACCGTTTTTTCCATGGTAAATCCCCGAATAGTTAGTGCCAGGGGTTCCTGGACAGAACTGTTCCCCTTGCTCGGCTGGTCCCTAAGAGGCCGTCGGAAGGACCCCGCCATCTTAGTCTTGCGGTTCCTGACTCTACGGTAGTGAGTTTTCCCTCGGCATCAGGGGCCGCCCCTCCATATGAGCTGCGGTTGGCTGCTCTCATGGAGAGAATATGTATTCAGGAGGCCTCAGCTCGAGGCCAGTAACTTGAGCCTGAGCTCAGCATTTAGTGCTGTGCACTTTCCCCGAACGTGCATTCCGTTCCATTCCATTCCTCCTACTCCATTTCCTCCTCCTCCGCTTCCTCCTCCTCCTCCTCCTCCTCCGCCTCCGCCTCCTCCTCAGGGAGGAGGGGATGTGAGGGGAGGGGCAGGATTCGGGATTCAGGATTAGCGAGTTCCTGCCGAAAGGCAGCGCCGGGCCGGCGAGTCGCTGCCACTACGTGCTGCCCCGTCGCGTTGAGGCAGGTGCCGCAGATGTCATTCTTTGCTGTCGCTCTTCCGTTGGAAGAAAGAAGCAAGACGTTCATGTCAAGACGATTTGCATGGAGGAGAAGGGGAGCGGGAGGGAGGGGGAGGTCATGGAGGGGGGGGAGGGGGCGATGCGAGGGGAGAGGGTCGGGGGGGAAGGCGCAGAGGGGACGGGAGGAAGGAGGGGCAGAGAGAGGATGTGAGGGGATGGGGTGGAAAAGTGGCGGGGAGGAGGGGGACGAAGCGATGTGAGGGGAGAGGGAAGGTGCTGGCGAGGGTTGGCTGATCGGCGGAGGATTCGAGGGGAGAGAGGGCGCCGGGGAAAAGAGGCGCGTGAGTTGTACGCTGTAGCACTGGTGGGGCATGTGGGAATGCACAGGGGAGGGGAGCTTGCGGTGGTGCAGGGTAGGCTACACATCAGGTCTAGACGCAGAGTTCACAACATCATGGCACCATGCAGGAATTCCAGCGGCCGCCTCCAATGTGAACATCACGCTGTGGGGTGTAACCTGCTTGCATTGGCGGAGCGCTCGATTACCTCGCTGCCTCGATGTAAGAAAACACGCATCGATTTGTTAAGTCGCACCTTGGGTCGTGAGCCTAGTGAAACGCTTACCTTGGGCTGTGGGGGGCTTTGCAGGAGGGGGTGGGGGGCGCAGGGGAAATGGCGCCGAGCTCCGACCAGAGAAGTCCGCGCGGGCCCCCGAGAGATCACGCCCAGGCATGCCGTCTCTGGCCCTCGAGGAGCCAGACCTCCAGCGCATCGAAGAGCACAGGGCGCATGTTTGCTCGCGTTGCTGAAGGGGCCCTGGGACACACAAATAAATACACACAAATAAAGATATCCCCCATATTTTCCCATATGTTCTGGGCTTTTGTCTTCCCCCCACTTCCCATAGGTTCCCATATTTTCAGGGGAATCGACGATTCATTGTGTCTGTGTGTTTTTTCTCTCCTGACTTGCTCGTCCCCGAGAGATCACGTTTATGCCGTCTGCCGCCCTCGAGGGACCGGACTTCCCACGTACTCGAAAACTCGAGGCGCACATATTGTTTTGTTCCTGCGGTATCCAGTACCTTCTCTCACCTGCGCGATCAGGCCAGCGCCCTCGCCGCTGGCCCGAAAAGCAGCAAAGGACAGAGCGAGAGAGCAGCAACAAGGGCAACCGCATCTCATCAAGCTCGCCGCGAAGCTCAGACGACGAGTGGAACCATGCATGGCTTCAAGATCACTGCGCGCCAGGAATGTCGTCTGACCCGAAAGTACAGGACATGACTGCGAGGCGGGGATTTATCCATATCCACCGCCTGGGAACCGACGTCCTGGTGGCCCAGCGGGCGGTGGACATATATATATATATATATATATATATATATATATGTATATGTGTATATATACATATGTATATATATATATATATATGTATGTATGTATGTATATATATATATATATATTCTGGCCCCCGGGGGCCCGAGTATGTCCACATCCACCGCCTGCCAATGTCCCCGAAGATTGAGCCTCTCCGCTCGAACAGGCAAGGTTTAAGTCGGGCCTGTCCCCCTACAGGAGGATTTTCGACAAAAAACAAAAAATACCCCAAAAATAATCAAAAGATGCTCCAAAAATAGCCTGGGGACTACTTTTAAAATATTCTTGGACCCTTTTTGGGGCACTTTGGGGGTATGTTCTATTTGTCGTCGAAGATCCCCCTGTAGGGGGACACGCCCGACATAAGTACGAATCCCCGCCTCGGAATGACAGCCTCTCCGCTCGAACAGGCGAGGTCGCAAAGGAGCGGGCGCCGCGGCTCATCGGCCGGCGCCCGGCCCGCGGAGCGGCGGGAAATTCGGCAGGCGCGCCAGCAGGTGGGAGGAGGGAGGGCGAGGACGACGACGAGAAGAAGGGGAGGGGGGAGGCCGAGGGAAGAGGGGGGGTGCATCGTCAACGATATCATCAACATCAGCATCGCAGCCATCATCATCATCATCATCATCATCATCATCATCATCATCATCATCATCATCATCATCATCATCATCATCATCATCATCATCATCATCGTCATCGTCATCGTCATCGTCATCATCATCATCATCAGCAGCAGCATCCTCATCCTCATCCTCATCATCATCCTCATCTTCATCCTCCTCCTCATCATCATCATCATCATCCTCATCCTCATCCTCATCCTCATCCTCATCCTCATCTTCTTCATCATCATCATCATCCTCATCCTCATCCTCATCCTCCTCCTCCTCCTCCTCCTCATCATCATCATCATCATCACCATCATCATCAACATCATCATCGTCCTCCTCCTCATCCTCCTTCCCCTCCCCCTCCCCCTCTTCCTCCCTCCCTCCCTCCCTCCTCCCTCCCTCCCAGGTCTCACTGGGCTGGGCTGGGCTGGGTTGGGATGGTCTGGGTTGGGCTGGGCTGGGCTGGTCTGGGTTGGGCTGGGCTGGGTTGGTCGCTCTTTCCCCCCTCTCTTCCTCTCCTCCTCCCTCCCAGTCCTTGCTAGAGGACTGACCTTTCTGCAGGACTGCGGTGGGTTCGGGAGAGATGGATTGAGCTGGGGTGGGCTCTTCCCCTCATCCCTCCTCCCTCCCTCCCTCCCTCCCAGTCCTGCGGGAACGGGTTGGGCTGGGTTGGTGAGGCCTGGGCATCTGCTCCTCTTTCTCCCTCCTCCTTTCCGTCTCTTCTGCCTCTGCACGGCCCGGCGTCCACTCCTGCATCGGCTCCCCATGCGACCCGGGGTGCCTCCTGCCTTTGGGGAGCGCGGTCGAGAAGGCGCTTTGGAGATGTCTCGCCGGGCCTCTCTGCAGCCCCTGCTTCTCCACCCCTCTATCCGCAGCCACGTTGTCCCGAGCTGCAGCGCCTTTCCATCTCCGCATCCCTCCTCACAGCCATTACAAGGCCAACCAACAGCATGGGGTCCGATGGTCCCGAGCCCGAGGCCACCCAGAAGGTCTTGGATTTCTGGATGCAGGAGCGTCCATCTCTCCGGCTCAACCTCCGCGCGGCGTCGCGCACGGAGGAGAAGAACCAGGCGGGAGGAGGTCCTTGTGCGGCGACTATCTTCAAACGCGCCGTGCGTCACCAGTGGTCGCTGATGTCGGTGGCAGACAAGCGGGCGTGGGCCGCTGCAGCAGCCACTGGGGGTCCCGCCCCAGGGCAGCCCAAGCTCTGGCAGGACGTGGACCAGGCGGCCGCTGGGCACCAAGGGCAAGGGGCTGACACGCCACTGCCGGCTTCGACACCGTCTCAGGGTGACTCCGAGGCCGGGAGCGGCAATGGACTAGCGGTGGCCGGCACCTGCTTCGGCTGCAGGGCCACGGGCTGCGAGCTTGCTCTTGGCCAGGGAGCGCACGCTCAAGAGGCCTACTGCCGCACTTAATGCTGGGACCAGTGGGAGGCGACAAAGACAAGCGCAGCACGCAGCGAGGAGACGAAGGCCGAGGTACCGGACGATAGCGTGGGCGAGGCCCCGTGGAAAAAGCTGCAGCTCCTCTTGGCCTCGCCTAGCCACGGCGCGGCTGCGGTGCCACAGCCTATTCGGTGGGGCGCCCCAGAGGCCGTCAAGCAGGGCTCATGGGGCGTAGGAGGCGGCGCAGCCGTGGCGCCTTCGACTATGGAGTGGAACGCCCAGGGTGGCTGCCATGCAGGGGCGTGGGAAGCGCTTCGCTACGGCGCAGCACCGACACCGCAGGCACCAGCCTGGAGCGCAGAGCCCTCTGGCTGGATGGGCTGCCAGTTGGCAGCGGCGTCCTGGGCGGTCCAGCCCGGAAACGCCCAGCAGGCCCTTCTGGGCAGCGGTCTCCAGCTCTGGGGCCCCGGGCAGGCGCTGGCGGGAGCTACCGTGCCCCCAGGCTTTGGCAGTGCGAGCGAGGGCGCCCAGCAGGGAGTGCTCCGGGCGGTAGAAGCGGACGTGGTGGACCCTTTGTTCCCGGAGCACAGGCGGCTCCATGAGCATGGAAGCTCGGGGGCGGGGCGGGAGCAGTCCAGACAGGGGGAGGAGAAGAGGTACGACAGGTTCTTGCGCCTGATGCCGGATGGCAGCTTGCCGTCCGACAGGACCATCCTTTACTGGGCCTCGACGGTCCCAGCCGGCAACCCCCTGCTCAGGCGCGGGGCCGAGTGGCACTACCTGCCCAAGGAGAAGGGCAAGGGCACCCAAAGCACCAAGAACAAGAAAGCGCCAATTGAACTCGTTCCACTTCGGGAAGAAGCATGGCGCGGTCCACATCTGGATGCGCAAACCGGGAAAAATCCACATCGCTGCTGCCACAGCGGTGCGCGAGAACATCCTGTCCAAGATGCTCACGTGGACGGCCCCGTACAACAACGGCGTGCCCCCGGCGGGCCAGACGGATGAGCCCTTGCCGCCGCTGCCGCCCGCGGCCTGGACGCCGCCTTAGCGAGTGAGCATGTGCACAGAACTGCACCGCCAGTCCCCTCTCCTCCGCCTCATCCTGCCTTCCGTTGCAAGCCCCCCCCGCGCTAGCGCAGTCCTAGTCGTGTCGTGCGCCCGGCGTGGTGCCCAGACGCGGCAATGCGCGAGGCTCTTGGGATGTCTTCTCTTGGTGTTTAGTACACGGAGGATTTTGTATGAGTTTCGTACCGGATGTACGATTCTTCCTCCTCCCTCTTCGCCTTACCTCCTCCCTGCCGCCCCTTCGTGCATAGAGCTAATTACTTCGCTTTGGAGTTGTAGCCAGATTTTCATTGACACTTTATAGAATTTGGCAGTGGGCTTTGTATAGGTTCGTGCGTGGAGTTTTCATGAATTCTGCGCTCGAGCTGCAAAAATATCTGTTCAGACTCCCCTCCCTCCCTCTCCCCCTCCCCCCTCCTGCTCAGTCTCTGCCGGGCTGCAGCGGGCTGGGGCGGTCTGGGACGTGCTGGGGTGGGTTCCCCCCCTCCTCCCCCCTCTCTCCTCCTCCCTCCCTCCCTCCTGGCCCTCGCCGGGGTGGGATGGGCTGGGGTGGTTCCGTGCCGCCGCCTTCGCCGTCTGCGCTGCCGTCGTCGTCGCTGTTGCCGCTGTGCTGTCTTGTCGCCATTGCTTTGGCTGTCCTTGCCGCCGCCGCCGCCGTGGTCGTCGTCGTTGGCGCTGGCGCCGTTCCTGCTCCCGCTCTCGTCGTCGTCGTCGTCGTCGTCGTCGTCGTCGTCGTCGTCGTCGTCGTCGTGGTCGTCGTCGTCGTCGTGGTCGTCGTCGTCGTCGTCTTCGTCGGCGCTTCGGTGAACGGAGGCCTTCCCGGCCGTGCAATGGCTGCGGTCCGTCGGGATTCGCCCCCGAGCTCCGCCGCCGCCGGTTCGGAGGGACGCCCCTGGTTGCCTCCTGCCCCCGGGCAGTTTTTGAGGTACCAAACAGGTTCCTGTTTGGTACGGGGAAAACTGCCCGGGGGGGCTGCTGAGCCCGACGCCGTGGCCGCCGGGCGCGTCTTGGCCCTGCCGGGGCTCCCTGGGCAGTTTTTGAGGTACCAAACGGGCCCCCGTTTGGTATTGCGAAAACTGCCCGGGAGGCCCGGGGGGGCCCGCCTCGGTGGCCGCCGGGCGCGGGTGTCTGCTCGGGAGGCCGGGGGAGTGCCTCCCGGCCCGCCGGAGTGCGCTTCGGGCCTCTTCTCTTTCCGGGTGGACCCCTTCTGGAGAGATGAAGCGCTTCTCGCCGCCCTCCCTCCCTCTCTCCCTCCTGGTCGATTCCCTCTTGGAGGTCTGTGTGGAGTTCCTGGGTCGGCGTTGGGCACCCCTCCCCGCACCTGCTCTGTGCGGGGGACGTTGTTGCGGCAGTGTCTGGAGTGTGGAGAGGGGGGTCGGGCTCCGACCTGGACCTCGGCGCGGATCCCTTGGAGCCGGTCGTGGCAGGGGTGGGATGGCGTTTGGGATGGGTCGGCAGCGTGTGCTTCCTCCCCCCCCTCTCGGATCCTCTCTCTCCCTCCATCCGGCTAGCCTCGTACCTACGTCGTGCGTTGGCGTAGGATGGAGCCGAGACCGGGCGAGGATCCCTGCCGGAGGGCCGCGCCGCTGATGCCCCCTCCCCAGGAAAACCCAAATCTAGCGTTAGCCTTCCGGCTTTGGGCGTGGCACCTCTCCGGAGGGAGCCTGGGAAGCTGAGGGAGGTTTGGGCACGGTGGCTCGCAAGGCCTCGTACCCTCCCCCTCTCTCCCAAGGCTGCTTCCCTAGAGTGGTCTCATCCATCCCTGGGCTGACGTTGCGGGGTTGCTGTCGGTCGCCGGTGGGGCCCCGCAGCTCTCTACTAAAGGGGCTGAGCCCGCAGTCCCAACATGCCACCTCGCTGGGAGGTCACCAACCAACCAACCAACCTCATCTTCATCATCATCATCATCATCATCATCATCATCATCATCATCATCATCATCATCATCATCATCAGAATCATCATCATCATCATCATCATCATCGTCATCCTCATCCTCATCTTCATCTTCATCATCATCATCATCATCATCATCATCATCATCGTCATCATCGTCATCACCATACTGATCCTGATCCGCCTCCTCCTCTCCCTCCTCGTCCTCCTCTTGATTCCCCCCGCCGCCTTCTCGTCCTCCTCCTCCTCCTTCCTTTCTCGTCCTCCTTCTCCTTCTCCTTCTCCTTCTCCTTCTCCTTCTCCTCCTCCTGCTTCCTCCCTCCTCCCCACAGTGAGGGGCTCGGTCACCGAACCCCTCCTCGGTCCGAGCGGCTGCATTGGCAAAGTGCGGAGCCTGGCCAGCGGTCGGCGGTGCAGGAGGAAAAGAAAAGAACTTCCTGCTGCCACGCCGCCCGAAACGGCCCAGCGCTACACTACAATAGGGAAACGAACAGTGACATAAACATAAAAACTAAGAGGCCCGCGCGGAATTCTCGGATCGGCGCCGGGGCCCCCTGGCGGCGCCTCCGGCGCCGCCCCTGGCGCGCTCCGCGCGCCAGGGAGGGGGGTCCAGCGAGTGCCCAAGAAATCCGCGCGGACCTCCGAGTTTTTATGTTTATGTCATTGTTCGTCCCCCTATAGAAACGACAGCGGAGGGGGGGGGGGGAAGGGAAGGACTTGTTCACGACGCGAGGGGGTCTGGGGAGGCAGCATCAGGCCGCCGCGAACTCCAGCGCCGCCATCACTGGGGCCAGCGACGCGGCGATCCATCCCAGGCCGAACGGGCCACAACTTCCGACCATGTCCGGCAAGTCGTCATCGTCGCCAGCGCACGCCGACTCGAGTTGGGTGGCCACGTCCCCTGAGATACTGATGTTCATATTCTCAAGAATGGCGCCGCAGTCCGTCTCGTAGTCTTCGGCGCAGCTGACGAAAGGGTACACGAGGCACATTGAATCTGTGTCATCGCTGGCCCCGGTGGTGTCAGTGCCGTCCGCCAAAGTGGTTGTGCCCACCATCCCGCTGCCACTCGAGTCGCTGTCGTCGTCACCGGCCGCCAAAAGATTGGCCCACGCAGTCTTGCCGCCAGGGCACGTGTCACAGATGCACTTCAGCATGGAGGCCATCATGACAAAGTCGTCTGCTACTTCGGAGCTGCTGCACGTGGCCAGCTCGTCTACGAAGCACTGAACTGCACTCTCGTGGTCGCAATAGAGGTTCGTCCAGTCCAGTGGCGTCGGCTCTTCAAACGCGCCCTGGGCGGCCACCATATCTGAGAGTCCTGGGCACGCGACCAAGCACTCGTCCGTGATGGGGGGGCCGTCGTCGCCCGACAGCCGCCGCTGGACCTTCCTCCCCCAGGCGAAGCGCCTGTGCGGCGCCGAAGCGCCCACGCTCAGGAGCGGGGCGGTGGCCAGCAGCAGGAGGGCGGCCTTCGTCATGGCTGGGGGGGCCGGGGGCGACGGCTCACTGCGCGCACGCTCGGATCGCTCACAATGCTTGCGACGGGTCGCGAACACGGCCTGAGCAGCTTGGGCCAGTGGCCACGGAAACAACAAAAGAAAACTCCTGGCGCATTCTTTCTCGCCGTGTCCGCCCTCGGGGGCCCTGGCAAGGCCCCCAAGGCCATCAAACAAAACAACTCAGGAGGAAAAGCTGGTCCTGGGGAACGGGTCGCGACTACTAGCTCGTGCCATGCACCAGAGCGCGTGAACGGAAGAATGCGTTGCCAGACTGTTCTCGCAGCTTTGCGGGAAAGGCGGCACGCCGGCGGCTGACGAATTTTTGCGTAGCAGGAAAAGGAGTAGGAGAAAGAGGAGGAGAAGGAAGAGGAGGAGGAGGAGGAGGCGAAGAGGACGGGGAGACGAGGAGGAGGGAAGAGGAGGGAACAGGAGGAGGAGGCGGAGGAGGAGGAGGAGGAGACGAGGAGGCGAGGAGGGGGAGGAGGAGGAGGAGGAGGAGGAGGAGGAGGAAGCGGAGGAGGAGGAGGACGCGAGGACGAGGGGGGAAAGAAACGCGACTTCTGGGGGTCCCGTATCGAACAGCTCGATACATCGCCTATGCCCTGCAGAAGGGGGGGGCCGCCCACCTCGCGGCCACCTCTCTGGGGGCGCCGCCATTCAAGACTCTCATCAGGGTGGGACGGAAGAGGGGCCCAGAGCAAAGAGCGGAGGGCGAAGACCAGTGTAAGCCCAAGATTCATCAACGATGCTGGAATAAATCCTCCCTCGAAGTTCCCTCTCAATAGGCTCATCACAAGGACTCATTTCCATTGAAGGAAGTGCGCCCCGTTGGGGGACAAGCGTTTGAAGATCCTCCGGCGTGCCGATACACCGTTTTCGGGAATCTAACGTCACGAATCAATCTGAATGTTGCGTTTTGACGATCGTGAGTCGTACCAGAAAGCCATTCCTGGGATTTCAACACCGCGAATCAACGAAACTGTTGCGCCCTGGCAATCCTGACACGTTTCAATACAGCATGTCTGGTACGTTCGCCATGGGAACCAGTCCAACTCTTGCAAAGTTCCATAACAAGTGTGCGCGGCGCTAAAGCGAGAGCCATATGTTGAAAATTACACCGGAGAAAACCCCAATCAGTGGATGATTTGAAAATTGATACTATGGATCTTGACATCGATTGTGAGATCGATGATCAGATCGATAGTGTAACCGATAGTGAGGACGATTGTAAGATCGATCGTGAGACCGAGAGTGAAATCGATTCAATGAGATCGATAATGAGATCGATAGCGAGATCACTCATGCGATCTCTAGTGAGATCGCTTGTGTGATTGATAATGAGATCGATTGTGAGATCGATCGCGAAGATCGCTTATGCGATCTCTAGTGAGATCGCTTGTGAAATTGATAATGATATCGATTGTGAGA